CTCTTCTCTTCTCTTCTCTTCTCTTCTCTTCTCTTCTCTTCTCTTCTGTGATGAATGTAGTACAGATTCGTTATTCAACTTGCCTAAGTTTTATCTTTGAAAAAAAAAAAGGATTGTAGGAAAATCTGCCAACTATGGTAACAAGAGAGAATGAGAAAAAAAAAACCCGTTATGCTTCCTAGAAGTCTGCAAAACATGTTTTCTTAAAAACAAAAAACGGAACTGGAAGCTGAAGGCAAACTTCAGGGGGCGGCCTTCATGTCAGCCCCTGCCGCGAAGAAGCCGCACTACAAATGCAAAACAAAAAACAAAAACCCCACAACTCAGCGGCGCTGAAGGACGAGGTGCAAGTTAGAAGTGAGCTGCCTTGAAATCAATGGGATTTTCTTTTAACCGAATGTTTTTTTAGGATTGGATGTTAAGCTCATCGATTGCAGGCAAACCCAAAGCCCAGTTAAATGTTTAATTCCCATTGATTGCAATAGGGCCTTTTTCTTTTCATGAAAGTCTAGTGGAACCTTGGAGGCTAACTTGGTTACTGTAGCCTGGGGTTTTCTCTTACTATAACAGATATATCTTCATGAATTCATTTCTCCTAAAACAAGGTTACCAGTGAGCAATTTAAAAAGCAACCAGAAAGAAAGAAAGAAAGAAAGAAAGAAAGAAAGAAAGAAAGAAAGGAAGGAAGGAAGGAAAAGAAAAGAAAAGAAAAATATGATCGGAGCATTTTTTATTTTCTCAGAGGGATGAGCTGGAGAAATCAGTAGGTGATCATAGGGAGAATCAACGCTCTCTGAAATCTTGAAGCTTGGCAGTGGGTCCTAAATCAAACATTGGCACCTGTTGTTTTGTTTTTTTCTTTTTAAACCTGGAATGGCAAATTTCAGTTCATCAGCAGGCTAAGTGTTAAGTCGCCCTCAAGTTAGGATCCCCATCAAGCACGGAAAAATTTATGTTGCTAAGTGAAATGTTTGTCAAGTGAGTTTGCCCCCATTTTATGGCTTTTCTGGCTGCCGTTGTCAAGTGAATCATTGCATTTGTTATAAGTTAGTCACATGGCTAAGCCCACCCCTGACGTGACCCCTCCGGGACACTGGGACCATTATAAATAGTTGCCAAGCATCTGAATTTTGATCACGTGGCTGTGGGAGATGCGCCAACGGTCATAAGCGCGAAAAATGGCCGTAGGTCAGTTTTTTTCCAATGCCGTTGTAACTTTGAACGGTCACTAAATGAACTGTCATAAGTCGAGGACTACCTGTACTGCTCATTCATATAGGTTGTGGGTGGAGTAGAATCTGGGTCTCCTTAGTCCAGCACCCTTGTACCACGCTGGCTCTTATTTGAGGGAGAGGTCAGTGGAAGGAGAAGCTATTTGCAGAAACTCAAACTTATCAGCGCCGCGTGACCAAAACTCTTGATAACAAAGGAATGGTGTCCTTCCCTTCAGGATCTGACTCCATTCTTCCTTTTCCTCCTGCTCGCCGTTCTTTGCGGGTTTGGATAACCACAGACACACCTGATTAGGTCTCACATCATAAGCGTCCACATTTCATTGGAGGAGGGACCACTGCAGACCTGGCCACCAGACTTGCAAAAAGGTGTTTGGTATGGATGTGGAGGGAAGTCCCAGCTCACAAACCACCAACCCAGACACTGAGATGTCCTTGGTGGTCTCTGAGCTTGGCCGTTTGCTTGCAGATGCTTCGTGATCAAACTACATAACATCGAGTGCCTAACATCGTTTACTGGGCTGGCAAAGAATTTAGCTGACCTCATAAAACCCACCAGGCTCAGTTAAACTGGCCATGTCTGGTTTACAGGTTATGCTGTTGTGTAAGCCTTTGCATGGTCCTCAGATGCCTTGGATAAGCCATCATGTTAAATTTATTTCAGTACTGTATGCGCCAAAGTGAATAAAACAGATGTTGAGATTGATGTGGGGCTTAAATCCTGTTGACTAGACAAGACTAGAGAAGGATAGGATAGGATAGGATAGGATAGGATAGGATAGGATAGGATAGGATAGGACAGAAAATACAATACAGTACAAATGGAATACAATGCAATGTAATACAATACAAATGGAATGGAATACAATAATACAATACAATACAATACAATACAATACAATACAATACAATACAATACAATACAATACAATACAATATACAGTACAGTACAGTACATTATTGGCCAAGTGTGATTAAACACATAAGGAATTTGTCTCTGGTGCATAAGGTCTCAGTGTACGTGCAAAACAGCAAAATAATAATATCAAATTAATAATAATCATAACCATGATACCAATAAGAGAAGGTAGTGAAAAAGATGGGAAGGATAATAGTAATATAGCTATACCACAAGGGTAAATATACTTAGACATAAGACAGTACTGTGGGAATTAGGTGTTTAGCAGAGTGATGGCGCAAAGGAAAACACTTGTCTCTGCATCTAGTTGTTTTGGCATGCATGGTTTGAAAAATGTCTCACAAAAAAGCCACACAAGGTAGAGAACAGCCTACCCTACATGAACTGAAACACGTCCCACATCATGTTTGGAGGAAATAAATATGCCAGTGCATCTGTGTCACTTGATTTTATTACAAACAAATCTTAATTGATTGCTGTCCAAAAAAAACCCCGCCTCCAGTTTGACCAGGGTGCTACTGCAAAACAAACAATTAAAACAAACAATTAAAACAAACAGGCACTTCCTTCTCCCAGGCTCAGCTCGGGGAAGGTGATTTTCCCTCCCCCTGCTCAAGTCCGTTTGCTCTATGAGTATCAGCTTCTCTTTGGTGTGATGGGAATCTTTGTGACTCAAAGCTGTTCCTTGAACAGATATTTTACAATCGAGGTCTTGTACCGTTCAAAGAAAGGCGTGTGCTTTGCCCTGCACAAAATATTCATGGGGATGGACGAGGGGACAAATTAGGTTGTTCTCAGAGAAACTTCTCGCATCTCCCTGAGGAGAAGAATTCAAAAGAGCTCACGGGAATGGACCACAGCCACAACATGGCCTGAATAGCAATGCCAAGGGAGGCCCAATCACTTCTGGATTGGCGTGTGCATCTCCCTTGTGGCCATACAAAAGATGTGTAGCAGGGGTGGGATTCTACCAGTTCGCACCTATTTGCTAGAACCTGTTGTTAACATTCTAAGCAGTTCAGAGAACCGGTTGTTAGAATAAATTACTGGCCTAATCCTGTAAGGAAGGCAGGAAGGAAACATTCTGGTGTTGCTTACAGAAACTGCCTCTCTGTTAACCCTTATTACGTTCTTGGCAGGACTAGACTTCCTGTCTCAGGAACTTCTCTGGAGTTTTTCCCCCTCCTTTGCTGGTACTTTGCTTGTGTGGCGTGACCATTCAAAGTTACAATGGCACTGAAAAAAGTGACCATTTTTCACACTTACGACTGTTGCAGCATCCCCACAGTCACGAGAGGCCAGGTGTGGAGATACGCGCCTCGATGTGAGTGATATTGAGTTGGCCACACCCAGCCAATAACATGACCACCAAGCCATATCCATCCAGTCACATGACCACCAAGCCATGCCCACCACTTAAGCCACTCCCACAGAACCGGTTGTTAAAATTTTTGAATCCCACCCCTGATGTGTAGGCTGACCATTCGCATCAGCTGTCACAAGGTGCCCTGAAAGAGGAGGGGGCATAGGAGCAGGATGATAGTGACAGTATTCCTAAACTCTCAAAAGAGACTCTAAAGTTGGAGCTAATACTTATGGGGTGTGTTTTGTGTCTGCACTGCTTTGCAGTGGCAGGGTGCCATTCTAATGGCACTGCAATGTGGTGCAGTGGCCTAGAGGTGGAGTTCTCACCTCACAGTCAGGAGGCTGTGTGTTCGATCCTAAGTAGAGGCAGATATTTCTCTCTGGGCACACTGAGAATATATCTGCTGAACAAAACTCCACATTGGTGACAGGAAAGGCATCCAGCCAGTAAACACTCTCCTAGCCCCATCCAGTTGCCCTGATTCCACCCTGCAAGGGATTTATGGGTTCGTTAAAAGAGGATGGTGAGGGTTGGGAAGAAAGGTTGCCAGTTGGGAAACTTGTTGCCAACTCTCTCAAGACCAAGAGTTCTTGGAACTGAGGGGATAATAATAGAAATAATTGGTCTTTTTGTCCTCTTCCTTCTCTTTCCTCTCTTTCCTGCTCTCCTTCCTTCCTTCCTTCCTAGGGTTACCATGGCCTATCAATCGGAGGTGATCATTGACGGTCAGCCGCAACCTGCAGGCACCAGCTACTCATTCAATAGTCAAGGAAGCTGGAATTCAGACCTGTGTGACTGCTGTTCTGACATGGGCATCTGTGAGTAATGGAGGCATTTGGGGAAGCGAAGGCAAGGATTTCTTGTGGGAAAAGCAAGGACGAAGGCGTCAAAGATGGCAGCCACAAATGCTCAAACCTTTTCTGTGAATGGTATTTTTAACCCACCACAAATCATCATCATTTAATAAACCTTTGCAGGGTGGAGCCTGGGCAGCTGAATGGAGCTGAGTGTTTACTGGCTGGATGCCCTTCCAGTCACCAGTACGGAGTTATATTCAGCAGATATATCTTCATCCTGCCCAGGGAGAGAAATAATCTGCCGCTACCTAGGATAGAACTCACAGCCTCCTGATTGTAAGGCGAGAGCTCCACCTCTAGGCCAACGTACCGTTCTTTCAACCCATCACAAATACCCTTGCTCAAATCATAAGTGCAGGTAGTCCTCAACTTACAACTGAACCCAAAATTTCTGCTGTTAAGCAAGACAGTTGTTAAGTGTGCTTTGCCCCCATTTTGCAAACTTTCTTGCCAAAGTTAAGTGAATCGCTACAATTAAGTTAGTAACCCAGTTGTTAAGTGAATCTGGCTTCTCCATTGACTTTGCTTGTCAGAAGGTCGTAAAAGATCTCATGATCCCAGGACATTGCAACTATCATAAATATAAACCAGTAGCCAAGTGGACGAATTTTGATCACATGACCATGTGGATGCTGCAATGGTTATAACTATGAAAAACGGTTATAAGCCAGCACCGTTGTAACTTCAAACGGCCGTTAAAGTAATGGTTGTTTAGTTGCTGGCTGGGGAATTCTGGAAGTTGAAGTCCACAAGTTGTCAGCTTTGGAAGCCATATTGAGACCAGATGCTCCCACGCTGCCACATCTGAGCCTGGGAAAGTGGGAGGGGGGAATTCATTGGAGTAGATCTAGTTAGATATAATAACATTTTTTTTCTGATTCAAGGTCAGGTTGCGTTGCACATAAGTGAGAGGAAACCTTAACTGGGGATGGATGGCGATTTAGCCATGTGATGTGATGATGGGTGCAGGGGATGGATTTTGTAGTTTTTACTTATTGTAAGGAAGCCCGCAACTTTCAGGTTCGGGATTCCACAGTTGTGCCAGTTACTATCCAAAATAAAAGGAACTTTGAGATGTCTGTTTCAAGCTTTTATTCATTACGGTTTTTTTCATTGTATTTATTTATTAGCTTAGTTTATGAGTAGTGCGGTGGCCTAGAGGTGGAGCTCTCACCTCATATAATCAGGAGGCTGTGAGTTTAATCCTCGGTAGAGGCACAGATATTTTTCTCTGGGCACAATGAGAATATATCTGCTGAACAAAACTCCACATTAGCAACAGGAAAGGCGTCCGGCCAGTAAACAGTCAGCTCCATTCAGTTGCCCAGACTCCACCCAGCAAGGGATTTATGGGATCATAAAAAGGAGCTGACGATGATGATTTATTCATTTATTAAGTTTATTAGTTTATTAGTTTATAATACAAAAATACAAAAGATAACAGGAGGAAAATAAGGGAGGAAAAGGGGAAGGGAAAAGGGGAAAAAGAAAGAAAAGGCATTGTCTTCCTACTCCCTTTGGTGCAGTAGAATAAGATAACATCAAACCTCAACTTTTTAGTTTTACATAATAACATAAACTAGCCATTTCTGTAACAACAAACCTATTTGTCGTAAAACCCAAAATCAAAGTTTTGTTCCCCCCACAACTCAACCACAAAGTCCAGAAGTGGCTTTTGAAGACCACAAGTCTTAAAATTGCCAAACTTGGACACCCCAAACTACTACAGCCTGAACAGCCAGAATAGTAGATATCCAAGGGGAAGAAAATCATTTGCCGTTTTTATTGGTCTCTCTCTCTCTCTCAAGGAGTTTGGGGAGAACCTCTCACCTTTTTCCTTCCTTTTCTACAGGTCTTTGTGCCGCTTTTGTACCCTGTATTCTTGCCTGTCGGGTCGCGGAACAAGCCGGGGAAACCTGCTGTCTCCCATTTTTGCCGGGGTCTATGATCGCCCTCCGTACAGGAGTGCGTGGAAAATACCGCATTCAGGTAAAAGGCGGAGCGTCGCAAATAAAAACGCAAACGAAGTTGGGGAAAGAAGGTGGCTGTGACCAGATGTGACAAGGCCTCTTTTCTTCCCTAAAGAGACAAAAGAGGAAGTCGCCCCCCTCTCCTTCCTTCTTGATTCTCATCATGAGGTCCGGCCTCATCATTGACATCCTAATTTAACCCACGGGTGGGCTTCAAAAATTTTAGCAATGGGTTCTCCGCCCGGTTGCTGGGTGGGTGTGGCCATAGTGGGTGTGACCTAGTTAGCCTCCTACACCATGGTGTGCGGGGGGGCGGTTTTGCCCTTCCCGGGCTCCTGAGGCTTCCCTCCAGCCTGCAGGAGGATGAAAACGGCCTCCCCGGGCGCCGGAGGCTCTCTGGAAGCTGAAAATGGGCCCATTTCCGGCCTTCCCGAACTTCCGGGAGACCCGTTTTTCACCCTCCCCGAGCCTCCATGCCAGAGGTGGTATTCAGCAGGTTCTGACCAGTTCTGGAGAACCGGACATTTTGAATACTTTGGAGAACCTGCAAATACCGCCTCTGACTGGCCCCGCCCCATCTATGCTCCGCCTCCTGAGTCCTAGCTGATTGGCTGGGTCTTCTTTGGTTGCCCTGCACAGGAGAACAGAGCTGGGAAGCAGGTTAGTGGGGTGGGAAAGGGAGATTTTGCAGTAACCTTCCCCTGCCACGCCCACCAAGCCACGCTCACCAAGCCATGCCCACAGAACCAGTAGTAAAAACCTTTGAATCCCACCACTGCTCCGTGCCCTCCCCACCATTACCTGTATACAAAACGGGCCACGTGGGGACTCCTGGGAGGGGTGGGTGGAGCCAGCCAGGACTGGGATTTGGGGGTTGTCCGAACTGCACATAATTTTAACTAGGGGCTCTCCTGAACCCCTACAAAACCCCAGCAGTCCCACCCCTGATATTTAACCCAGGGCTTTGTTTTTCCACTCAGGGGTCTATCTGTGATGACTGGATGGTCATGTCCTGCTGTCCATTGTGTGGTCTCTGTCAGATGGCCAGAGAGCTGAACAGGAACTAAGAAGACAGAAGAGGTGGCCAGGCCTCACTTTGGAGAAAGCAAAGGAAGAGTTGAAGAAAAGAGTTCAGAGGAACAAAGCTAGCGCTGACCGATCTGAAGTGAGAAAGAAAAGAACACAAGATTACAACGGGGTTAATTTTCCTGCTTGTTTGTTGACTAGTATTTGAAACTCCACAATGCAAAATCCTGCAGAAAAGAATATGCACCAAAACACAAACACATCTTATATATTATATATAAAACTGAAAAACACAAAAGGATAGCTTTTTTTACATCCCATAAGGAATTAAATATAATTATGAATAAATACAAAGTCATACTAGAAGTTGTTTTCTTTCTCTCTTTGGTGCCATCTACAGGTCATCCAGAATCTTGTAGACCAGATCTGATAGTCCTAAACCAGAGGTTTTCAAATTTGACAACTTTAAGATTTGTGGACTTCAACTCCCAGAATTCTTCCATGCTGGCTGGAGAATTCTGGGAGTTGAGGTCCACAAATCTCAAAACGTGGAGACCCTAGATTGAACTGGATTCTGAATACAGCTGCCTCTTAGTGCTAACGAAAGAGCTATCCTCTTGCTGAAGATTCAATAAACAGGGATTTTTATGTTTATTCCCTCTGTCATTTCCACCTTGAAATCTATATCCTAATAAATCCTCATCTAAAACTCTGCTTGGGGTTTTTTTAAAAAATAATAATTGCGACTTTTGGAAATGGGAAGTGTTGTGTTCCTTTGGACAGCTTGGTAATGTGTTTGTATTTGAGAAACTCCTCCTGGGCTGTTCCTTTCCCTCCATTAAATGTGCCAAAATCAGTTGGTTTTTATGGCTATAATTGAACATTTCAACACAGTAGCTCGGTAGCTTTTTAGCACATTATTCTCTCCCAATCGAATTTATTTATTTATTTAAAATATTTACGTAGCTCTGCCATAAAATCATAAATCAATTCTGGACAGCTTTCAACTTGCAAAACAATATATCACGGTTAAAAAAAAAAATCCAACAGTAATAAAAATTAAAACGCAAACTGGTGCCACAACCCCACACCCCAAGCACATTCTTATCCCAATCTGACATCACCTTATTATTTCAAAGCTTAGGAGAAGATCAGGTGTGGAGCGGTGGTGGGATTCAAAAATGTTTTTACTACCGGTACTGTGGGCGTGGCTTGGTGGGCATGGTGTGGCTTGGTGGGCGTGGCTTGGTGGGCGTGGGAGGGGAACGATACTGTAAAATCTCCCACCCCACTCCTGGGGGAAGGTTACAGAAAATCCCATTTCCTCTTCACCCCACTAACCTGCTTTCCAGCTCTGTTCTCCTGTGCAGGGCAACCAAATAAGACCCAGCCGATCAGCTGGGACTCGGGAGGCAGAGAATAGGTGTGGGTGGGGCCAGTCAGAGGTGATATTTGCTGGTTCTACAAACTACTCAAAATTTCCACTACCGGTTCTCCAGAACTGGTCAGAACCTGCTGAATACCACCTCTGGTGTGGAGTGGTATGGGGAAGGATAAAAGGGGTATGGAGGCTGTTAGATGTCATGGGGCAGGGAGTTCCCTAGGGTGGGGTTTATAAAGGGAGATGTCCCACAAAATGGCAATATTTCAGGGAAGGAACCTGGAACAGGCCTATCTGCTCTGGTGGGGCAGATACTGTAGTTGCAAGCACAGGTAGTCCTCGACTTACAACACTTCATTTAGTGACCATTCGAAGTTACAGTGGCATTGAATGACTTATGACCGTTTTCACACGACTGTTTGCAGCATCCCCATGGTCACATGATCAAAATTCGGACCCTTGGCAAATGGTTCGTATTGATGACAATTGCAGTGTCCAGGAGTCGTGTGATCAGCTTTTGCGACCTTCTATGGGGAAGCCAAATTCACTTAACAAATTGGACAAGAAATGTAGCAAAATGGGGCAAAATTCACCTAAAAAGACATCTGTCTCTGTGCAACAGAAATTTTGGGCTCAATAATGAACCTAAGTCATGGATTCACTGTATAGAATTCGCACAGCTGTACATTTGTAAATAAACTGATATGTAAATATCTATACATTTGCATATCTAGAAAAGGTAGCAACTACATTTCTGCTGGCTGAAAATCTGTTGTCTAAGCCTTTATAACAGGAAAGTATGCAATTAGTAGTAAGCATGGCTGAGCTCAGTGGAGTTTACTAAGTATAGTAACTCTGCATTGTATTATAGTCATGGCTCATAAACTCCATTATGAGCCTTGATTGTTGGGGTATTCTTATATTAAGACTGGGGTTTTAAGCAGGGTGTGAGCTCCTTTGATTATTACCTTTTCCCCAGAATGTAGTTACAGTGCTATCCACCCATCCTTGGATCTATATTGGCATGAAATTTGCAGAAGACCATACTGTAGAACCGGAGTGTCCAATCTTGGCAACTTTAAGACCTGTGGACTACAACTCCCAAAATTCCTCAGCCAGCTATACACTGGGGAATTCTGGGAGTTGAAGTCCATAAGTCTTAAAGTCCACCAAGGTTGGACACCCTTAATGTAAAAGTATAAGGTCTGCTATTGCCTCTGTTTCCAGGCTCTGCTGGCCATCAATTTCTGCCAATCTCACCCCAACCTAAACCATACATCAGTCTATATCGCTTGGCATCTGATGAAGAGTTCAGGAGTTCTGCCTTTTAATAAAATTTGCTAAAAAAGAAGCTATCAAACTGCTTCCAATTTTTTGTTGCTCTAGTATAGAGCGGTATTTCTCAATTTCAGCAACTTAAGATGATTTATGGACTTTCCAGTATTCCCTGGTATGGCTGGCTGAGAAATTCTGCGAGTTGGTCTGTATATATTAAAGCTGAAAACTTAGAAGCACTGCTATAAACTAACCAAATTCTTCTTCTATAAATGCCCCTCCTGAAATTATGACTTACAAAGCCTAACCGGTTTTTGTTCTGGTTTTCTTGACAGAAGGAAAAACTGAAGGTTTAATCTGTTGACTGGTAAAATAACGATTAACATTTTCCTAATCATAATGCAATTGGCTGAATTTGTAGAACAAAATGCAGAACTGAGACACTTACTTAATGAATTAGTCATGCATGAATCTAGCCATAATAAAAATAAGGATTATAATTAACAACCCAAGGGAACCATTCTATAGCATTTTAGCATGCATCGTGTGTTTATTCTGACTTCAAGATTAAAAGCTAGTAACTATTTAACCAGGATCCAAAACAGGAAGTGGAGTCCTGGGAACCAAAACATGTGGTTCTCCAAGGGAAGTGAACTGGAATATCATTGCTCACAGTTGCTGTAGCAATGCCAAGTCTCAGTCAGTATTATTTGCAGATTTCTGAGACTACACCACCCATCCTCCTGAGTCAGCATAGCTTCCAAGCTAAGAGCAGATAGATACAGATTAACAGAGTTGGAAGGGATCTTGTAGGTCATCTACTCCAACCTCCCCCACTCCACAGGTTGGGGAAAAAAACAGCAGGTTCCTATTATTTTCTTCAAAAATGACACGTTTAAGACTTGTGGACTTCAACTCCCAGAATTCCTCAGCTAACATGACTGGAGGAGGAATTCTGGGAGTTGAAGTCTACAAGTCTTAAACCTGTCAAGTTCGAAGACCCCTACATTAAACACAATAAGTAAACCATTATTTTTTCCCAAGCAAGGAAAAATTATCGCATAGATCAGGGGCCTCAACCTTGGCAACTTTAAGCCTAGACGACTTCAACTCCCAGAATTCCCCAGAAAGCTGGGGAATTCTGGGAGTTGAAGCCCTCTAGGCTTAAAGTTGCCAAGGTTGAAGGCCCCTACCATAGTGAAATAGAACGAAAAACCGGCTACGGTCCGCTATTGAGGCAAATGCCTGAGCTCGCCAGTAGGCGGCCACAAAAGACTCTATCTCCCAGTAGGCTTCGCGCTCTAGGAAAGTAAACATCCGCGATCCTCCCCGCCCTCCCTTTGCCACGCAGACCGGTCACTTCCGCCGAGGAGCTGGATTGGGTTCTGGTAGAGGTGAGCTGAGGTTCTGTTGCCAGGGGCAACCCCGGATGAAGGAGAGACTGGACCGAGCAGCATCGGGGGGGGGGGCGCTTTATTTTTTTTTTTGGTCCCTGGTCGTGGATGCCTGGGAGGAGAAAAAGGTTTTACGGGGGCTGGCCAAGTCTTTTAGCCGGCTTGCGGACCGAAACCTGGGAGACACACCCAAGACTTACGGGACAGCCCAGCCACGAGCTCGATCTAGAGTTGGGCGCCCATTATGGGGCGGTGGACTCATCCGGAAAGAGGGGCAAAAGGCACCCTTTGTGCCAGGATGGAGTGTAAGGTAGTCTCCAGGCCAGAGAAAGCCTGGCAGAGAGGCCCATGTGAGCTGTTTCTAAAAGGGAGTTAAAGAGAGAAACAAATTTAACAGAGTTGGAAGGGAACTTGTAGGTCATCTAGTCCAACCCCCCCTCCCAGGTTGGGGAAAAACAGCAGGTTCCTGTTATTTTTTGCTATGCATTAAACACAATTAAGTAAACCCTTTTTTTTTTTCCAAGCAAGGAAAAACGAGAGAGGGGAAGGGCAAGGAAATGAAAATAAGGGGTGTTTACTAAAGACACAACAGATGATAAAATGGTATGTGTTGTGGGTTATTTGAGCGCAGTTACCTGGTGGGAGCTAATAATGGGGTAATAGTGGAGGCATCAGGCTAGAAACTGGCGGTTGGTAAGTTCTGGTCCTGTCTTAGATATGAAAGCTGGCTGGGGGATTTTGGGCCAATCCCCAGGAGATGGTGAGTTCTAGTCCTGCCTTAGGCATGAAAGCAACTGGGGGGTGTATTTATTTATTTGTTTCTTTGTATCCCAGCTTCATTATTTTTACAAATAACTGAAGGAGATGAACATATCCAACACACTTTTTTCCCCTTATTTTCCCAACAACCCTGTGAGGTGGGTTTGGGCCAATCATTAGTAAACTCTGAGTTCTGATCCCACCTTAGGCATGAAAGCTGGCTTAGGTGACTTTGAGCCAAAGCCTGGGGTTTTTTTTTTTTTTTTGCTAGCAAGCAAGGAATAGGATGTGCTTTCATAACAGGTAAAGTTATGCTTTGATGTCACTCTGGAAGGTCTGCTGTGCAGCAATGTATCAAGTATGTAAAGGAAGTCTATGGAGATTCTCAGTCATCCGGGTGTCCCAGTCCATGGTTGTCCCAAAGGTCCTTTTTTAAAGAGGCAACTGGACTTTCTGTTTTTTCTTTGAAGGCATTTCAGTTTTCACCCAAGAAAGAGAGAGCTGAAGAAGCTTCTTGGATGAGAAGCGAAATATCTTCAAAGAAAAACCAGAAAGTCCTCTTGAAAAAGGAACCTTGGAGACAACTATGTAAAGGAAGGAAATGGGCCTCTAGTGACATTACTGTGGGCTGCTATATATGTGTTCTACTTTGTTGTGGCATCCCTACTTCCAATATCCAGAGCATCCAGAGCAAAGGTCTCCTTCTATACCTAAATATATATTTATGACATGATCTTCTGGATAGCTCTGGATAACACCACAAGGCATTCGGGGTGGGTTTTGAGCCTCTTCAACCAACCAGTGTTTTTCTTGACTCCCATATCTGTCTTTCTATCCAGCTTCTCAGTCTTAATTTACCATGGCTGGTAAAACTGGAACAGAACATCTCTTTAATGCAGCCACTGAAGTTGAGACAACAGGAACATTGTTGAGCAACAAGTAAGTTAATGAGAAGATAATTTTGCTTTTCCTAGCTGGATACCTTTAAACGGTTGAATACAACTCCTATCCTCCCCGGCCATCACAGCTAAGAGGCATGCTGGCTCAAGAGGAATTGTGAAGTCCTTGGTACTTTTTGAGCTTGGTTGTTTTCTTGCAGACGTTTCATTACCTCACTAGGTAGTATCATCAGTGCTAGAAGAGAGTAGGATTTGTTTTCATTTTATATACTAGTAGCTTGCCCTGTCAATGTTGGTGGGAATGGAGTGGAGGGTTCTTTGATTGGGCTGTTGTTTACTGTTGCCTTGTTTGTCTGGGTTGGTAGTTCCTTGTATTTTTCGATTGTTGGCCTAGTGTTAATCTTGGTGTTAATTTCTGCTCAACTGGATGTTGATTGCCGGTGAGGAAATGTTTGGGACTTTTTGTTTCCTTTTTGGCATTTTGATTGTCTCTTTTGAATGGTATGTAAACATTGTTCATTTCTATGTGCCCGTTGATGGCCGATTTGTCTGAGCGAAATTCCTTAAGAGGAATTGTAATTTAAAGACTCCGAGGACAATGGAATTGGAACACTGCTTTTTAAAAAGAGCTGGGGAACTGACATGTCTTTGAAGATAATCATCCAGGTCATGGTTGTCCCAAAGCAGAGGTGGTATTCAGCAGGTTCTGACCAGTTCTGGAGAAGCGGTAGCGGAAATTTTGAGTAATTTGGAGAACCGGTAAATTCCACTTCTGACTGGAGACTTTACAGCATCCTTCCCCTGCCACACCCACCAAGCCACGCCCATAGAACTGGTAGTAAAAAAAAATTGAATCCCACACTGTCCTAAAGGTGCTTTTTTTCATGTTTATTTGAAGACCATTCTTCTAATTCTTTCCTGGCCTTCTGACTTTATCTTTTCTAGGATCAACATCCCAGCACTCTTACCCCAAGGCCCAGCTAAGGAATGGCTGGATCAGCGTCGGGCCACCATTCGTCCCTGGGCCAACTTCCTGGACCAGAGGCGTTTTTCAAAGCCTCTGAATTTTGGGGAACTGTGTAAACGCCTTGTCCGCAACGTGGAATATTTCCAGAGCAATTATGTCTTTGTCTTCCTAGGGCTTATCGTCTATTGCCTGTGAGTAGATTTGATGGCTTCTTTTTTTTACTTGCGTGGGTGATGAATTCTCCCAACTCTTGTGTTGCAAATATCACTGAGGATGCCCAGGCCTTCATCTGTGCAGTGAAAGTTCCCAAAGGCTGAGGCCATCCCTTGAAAAATTCAATCGCCTTTGGCAGTCTGTACAAGCAAAACTCTGCCCCTTCAAAATATGCTTTTCAAGAAGACACTTCCAGCACCCAGTTGTGGGAAAGAATGAATGGGAAATGCGTTTGCCTGAGTTACCTCCTGCAGTTTGTGCCTGTGTACTAAGCTGTATGTTAAAGACACAAACAGATCAACAGAAAAGTCCCACTCTGTGCCCAAGGGTATCTGGATTGTGAAGGAATAAGGGTCAAACACCAATGTGTGTGCATCATGAGCAAAAATGACAGCTTACGTTCTTGCATCAGACGTTGGGAGGCAAGGATATACAGCGAGTTTTGCATCGTGGCATTACCACGTGCATTTTGTCATCTTGAGGTAACCTCAGTTTGCTACAAATGCCTGACTCTTTTTGGTTCTTGGCCATGTCACTGATTCAGTGCTTGCTTTGATAAAATTCTGTCTACAATATAGAGCAAGGAAAAGTATTCTGAGTGGCCTATATCCGAACATGTTAGAGGGCATTCAGGGCCTAGTAGATAATTCCCCTTTTGTTCCCAGACCATATACAAGTTTAGCGTGTAGAGCTTTTAGAAAATAGCCTCCAAGGAAGACCTGTGAAGGGATTTATTACACTACTGGAATATACAAGTAGTGATTAGGAGACTGGAGGTTAAAACATACAAAGAAGGATTGCTGGAACTGGGTATATCTAGTTTGATGAAAAGAAGGACTAGGGGTGACATGATAGCTGTGTTCCAATATCTCAGGGGTTGCCCCAAAGAAGAGGGAGTCAAGCTATTCTCCAAAGCACCTGAATACAGGATGAGAAGCAATGGATAGACACTAATCAAGGAGAGAAGCAACCTTAGAACTAAGGAGAAATTTCCTGACAGTTAGAACAATTGATCAGTGGAACAACTTGCCTCCAGAAATTGTGAATGCTCCAACATTGGAGGTTTTTAAGAAAAGATTGGATAACCCTTTGTCTGAAGTGGTGTAGGGTTTCCTGCCTAAGTAGGGGGTTGGACTAGAAGACCTCCAAGGTCCCTTCCAACTCTGTTATTCTATTGTACTCTAGAGTATATGTACAAAAGTCTTCCATTCTTAGTTGTAATGGGTTCAGCCAGGTTTTTATTAATTCAATTTTAGTTCCATGGAATTAGCAAGAAATTTGCGTAGTTTGCTCCTCCGTGTTGTTTCGTGATGCCTTTAACCCCACTGGTCCTTTCCTTCCCACCTGTTAGCATCACCTCACCTTTACTTTTGATTGCGCTTGCTGTGTTCTTTGGGGCCTGTTACATCATGTACTTGAAGACCCAACAGTCCCAGCTCGTTGTGCTTGGTAAGTGGTTGTTCCCGTGGTGCTAGAGATTTATGCATGATACAGGTAGTCCTTGACATACAAACAGTTCATTTAGTGGCCGTTCAAAGTTACAATGGGCACTGAAAAAAATGACTTACAACCATTTTTCACAGTTGCAACCTTTGCAGCATCCCCATGATTATGTGATCAAAATTCAGAGGCTTGCTAACGGGTTCATACTTACGACTGTTGCAACGTCTTTTGCAATGTCTTCTGGCCAAGCAAAGTCAATGGGGAAGCCAGATCCACTTAACAACCTTAACTGCAGTGATTCACTTAACAACTGTGGCAAGAAAGGTCATAAAATGGGGGGAAGCAAAGCCCACTTAACAAATGTCTCAATAACAAATCTTGGGGTCAGTTGTGGCCGTGAGTCAAGGACTGCCTGTATGCTCTTTCGAGAATGTAAATTTCTATTATTTTCCCTTGTTTGATGATGTCTGTCCTTTTACAATTAAAAGAAAGGAACACCTGTCTCCTTGCTCGTTGAAAGCTGGCACATCAAGGAAAGAGTTTAGTTTACTTTAGTGTCATTGCACCTCGTACGGCGAAACCAAACACCATCTTCAGTGCGCATCATGACCGTGAAAATAAACACAAACACACAACTGCCTGTAAACCCACATTTCAAACGCTTCCAGTCTCTTCAAGGGGTTTTCTGTCCAGAGACCAGCTCTTCGCTCTGTAGAGCAAGATTTAGCATCTGACAAGCCTGGTTTTCAATCTTGCATGAAAGTACATGCCGGTTGCCGAGCTTCCAGATTTTAATCACGTGACCTGCCAGAGGTCTTGACAATAAAAGGCCTTGAAAGCTACATTTCCAAGAAAGGCCACCAGATGGCGCTGCACAAATGAGACCAGTGTCCATCATGCACCAATTCCCATGCTTTGCTAGACTCCAGCCTTCGCACATACTTCTAAAAACCACAGAAAGCAAACGTTTGACCTCAAAAGCCGGCCTCTCTTCAGTCAAGCATTCAAGGCTGCCGCTTTCTCTCTCTCTCTCTCTTTTTAATAATTGAAAGCCAGCCTGCTTTCTAACTCAACCGTCTTTCCCTCTAGGGCGACAACTCAGCACAGCCCATCAATACAGTCTGGCCGGAGCTGTCTCTTTTCCTTTCTTCTGGCTGGCGGGCGCTGGCTCAGCTGTCTTTTGGGTGCTAGGTGAGTAAACAGGAAAACTCCATTCCGGGTGGACTGCCCTCACCTGCCTGTGGGGCTCCTTGGTGCTCTCTGAGCTTGGGGGGTTTCCATGCAGACGTTTCGTTCCCAAACTAGGTAACATCATCAGGAGTGGGGTTTGCAGAATGGAGGAGGGGGAGAAAGGGAGGAAGAGGAGGAGGACAAAGACATCAGTGGGGTCCTTGGTGCTCTCAGCTTGGTGGTTTTCTTGCAGATGTTTCATTCTCACATGAGGGAAACGTCATCGGTGGTAGCAGAAAACCACCAAGCTCAGCACCAAGGATTCCACAGTTCAACTCTGAGCTATAAATATTCTCTTTTATCAACACTCCTCTTTCTTCATATTTTGAACCATGGGTGTTTGGTGGCCTTAATCCATTTTTGATTACTGTTGATGGCCCCTGATCAGGGCTTTGGCTGTTTTCATTGTTGCCACAGCAACCATTGCAAGCCTAATGGTAAAATTAAGCGTTCTGATTTTCCCCCCGCCTCCTGTTGCTTCTTCCTTGCAGAAGAGAACCTGTGCTGATTTCTGTTTGAAAAGCGGGTGGTAGTGAATACCTTAGCTTTACACAGTTCATTCTCAGGAACTGCAGCCCCATTAAATCCTGTTCTCTGGAATTCTATTCCACCGTACCGTGTGTTTGTAACTTTCCTTTCTGCTCTGGTTCGTCCAGCTTTTGCCCTAAGGCAGGAGTGTCAAATTCAAGGCCTGCCAGCCAGATCCAGGCCACAGGGTGCTTAGATGCGGCCCATGGGGTCGCCCTGGAAATAAGCATGCAAGAAGGGATGGGAAAGGAGAAAGGGAAAGAGGAAAGGCAAAGAAAAAGAGGAAAAAAGGGGGAAGAGAGCAAGGAAGGAAAAAGAAGGAAAGATGGGAAGGAAGAAGAAAGGAGAATGAAGAGGGAAGGAAAAAGAAGAAAGAAGGAAGAGAGGGAAGGAAGGAAGGAAGGAAGGAAGGAAGGAAGGAAGGAAGGAAGGAAGGAA